CCCCCCCCCGCTGGCCCCACCCCTCATAGAAGAGCTATTCTCCCTACTACACACACTTGCGAGAGCTGACTCTACCCCTCACAGGTGAGGGATGGTCCTAGCAGCCTGGACTGACCAACTCAGCAGCCACCGAAGCTCACACCCAGGGCTTTACGTTGGCACTCCCCAGCGTCTACCCCATGACCGGCTGGAGCATGCGAAAGGACTGGTCCTGTGGAAACACAGCTACCATGATCTCTATGATTCTGCCACTGCAGGGTATCTGAAAGGAGACGTCGGTAAGGGTCCAGCATTGATGGTACCAGAGGTCAGAGGTATTGTCGTGTATTCTGCAGTTCCTGTCTGAGAAGAAAATCAAAAACTAAAGGCAATATGGGTAAGAAAGAAGGATAGCAGCACTATACATAATAGTAAAAAACCAAGGTTTTACATTTCTGTATTTTGCCAGTTTTGTGGTGATTTGTGGAGGGGGCAAGTTATTAAAAAAAGAGGGAAGGACAGAGAGAGGGAGAAGGTCTGATCTACCCCTTCCCTTGCCATGTGGGATCAGGGTTTTTAGGCCCCACCACAGCACCGGCCTGTCATTGTTTGGTTCACTAACTCTTCTCCAAGTCACTCCACTTACAGCCGCCTTGGCTCCACAACGCCACACAGTGCTAATTCCTCTGCCAAGAATGGGCTGAAATCCATACTCTCGTTTTTTTTTTTCTCATGGAAATATGAATTGGCACAGCTCAGTATAGCAATTTACAAATATAATAATCTTAAATATAGTCACACATTTTGGACTGAGCAGTCATTCTAGCAACCCTTCCTGTGAAGAAAAAAAAATATAGATAGATAGATAGATAGATAGATAGATAGATAGATAGATAGATAGATAGATAAAGAGAGAGAGAGACGGGGGAGGGGGAGAGAGAGATTTATTCCCATGGCGGTGTTATATGTTAGGGGAGGAAATGTGGTACAACCCAAAGTTCTTAGAATAACACAGTATTTAACTTACAATAAGGCTGCTAAACATAAGTGACTTCCCGGGTCATTCTTGCATAGACTATGCATAGATATGCAAAAACGTGCCATGATCCCCATGCTGAGTAGTGACACCACATACGAACTTTACATATATCCGAAGTTATTTAATTATAAAAGCAAATAATCGTCAGGAACAGAACAACCGGGAGCAAGCAATGCTGCTTTAAGCTGTAGTAGGGTAACTGGAGTTCTCTCTTGATGTTGGCGTGTTTCGTTTCTGCTGGGGCCTCCAGATGAACAGCCTCCTGGTCAGTCTTGTCCTTCTTGACCCACATCTTCAGTGAGATGTCCCTTTATTGTTCCTTTGAGACATCAAGCTTTCCCCACCCCCACACCTTTGTGTATTATAGCGGTCTTCCAAACTTGTCCAAGAGCAAGCCGCCATCTCTCGCTTTGCGGAGCCTGGTCCCTCACTCCTTCCCTGAGCCTCCGTGGCTCCTCGAGTGGCACCCTGTACCATTTATCAAAGATAGGGGTTACCTCCTTTCATCCTGCAGCCTCCCCAGGAGTCTTGTGCTGTTGTATCCATTTCAGTGGTGAGAGACACAGTGTGAATCAAAGCGATTAGGTGGCTTGTACAAGGGCAAGCTTTCATTACTCTTTCATGAGCCCATGTTTGGACAAGCTTTGTCTCTCCGCTAAGATTATAGCCATGCTGTTTTCAAGGATCTTATTGTACTCAATAGGACTTTACTTATCTGGTATTCAAGAATTAATTTGTCATAATTGAATTTTCTAAATAACTGTTTGCTTTAATTATCAAACTATATTTTATGCTGACAACTTTTAACCATTTTAGCAATCCTTGCTGTCTTAAAAAATACTGTGAGCCTAATTAACTGTTTCCCCAATATTTATTTTCAATATAAAAATCAATTCTGGTACCAGACTGTAACATAGTGATGTTCTTGTAAAATACTGGTGAAAAAAGAATTTTGCCTTTCCACTAAATGCCAGGCACAGGCTCCCAGTATGTCTTACATGAACACTGCCAGTAAGACTCTAATCCTTCCTCGCCCCCTTCTTCGGGATGAATAGAGAAGCTCATTTTAACAAGTGCGGCATTATGTCTGCACATCCCAGCTGCATCTGTCTGTGGATGAAACGCGCTTCAGACCGAGAGCACGAACGGACCAACTGGAACCGAATTATAATGAAAATGAGTAATCCAAAGAATGGATGAGATAATAAAACTTGTCTTATTTCAAGAACTCTCATCTAGGACGGTATGCAAATCTCTCAACCTCTAATTAGAAGAAAAATAATAGATAGATATATAGACAGATGATGGATAGGTAACTAGATGATAGATAATGCATGGATGGATGTCTGTATGGGTAGATGATACATACGTACATATATAGTAGGCACAGAGTACATGGATGATAGTACGGTGACAGCTAGCTAGTGATGAATTGGGTGATAAATGACAAATGGATGATAGATGATAAATATTCACATCATAAATAGCTACATGATAAACTGGATGCTAGAAGATCCCTAGACAGACAGATGTAAAATCAATAGAAAATTATATTAACTCAGACACATAAATACTCTGTGGTTATTGATATTAAAGTATATTCATATGCTTTTGTTATAAAACTAGATTCACAGAGAATTTCCTTATGATGGAATATGAGAAGCCTTGGGGAATATTTGGTGCTATCGTTTGGAATACTCAGCTTCTAAGAATTCTGGGAATTCTGATTTCTTTGGGCTGAGAAGAAATCGGAGAATCTAATTTAATTGTATTTTTAGCAATTTAGTTCTAGGTAACTTAAGAGTCTTTCTTGAGAACATAATTAATGTTTGTGGGTGTTACTTTTCCTTAATTTCTTGAATATACCCAAGTCTTCCGTTTCCTTCACAGCAGGAGGGCGCATCGCACTCTGAGGATAAAATGAGTCTGTACCAAAGGTGCCTTTCTCTTCCTTTGATGAGTAGTGAGCACCTCCTGAGGATGGTTTCTAGAGAGAACAAACAAATCCTCTGACTTCATGGTGCCAATATCCTACCATGAGAAAAGATAAAATGGACAAGCAGTTAAGGGGATGCCCACAGGCCCGAGGTCCTGGATTCCATCCCCAAACACCGCAGGAAGTCAAGTTTAAAATAAGTAAACAGTAAAGAAGAGAATGAGGAATCTATGTGGAAAACCAAGAGGTGGGGGAGATAGACTGACCGTCAAGAAGACTGTGATTTAATACAAATATAGCGGGCCAGAGAGGCCTCTGTAATAGATAATAGCTAAGCAAAGACCTGAGGCCAGGCAAATCCACACAGTCAACATAGCAATGGCAAAGTTCATTCCCTGCTGAGGGGAAGCGGCCAGAGGTCAGAGGGGAGTTGGGAACTGCTAAGGGGTTCTGAGCACTGAAGTAACCTGACGTGATGATTGTTCTCAAAGGGGTCTTCTGGCTGTTGTGGGAGAATAGACTCCCGTGAAAGGCTACAGGTGCCCTTCAGGTGAGAGATTGCTGGGGCTTACATCAGTTGTTCGGGGGCAAAGGTTCACGGGCTTGTTGCGGTTTTTTTTCACTCTCATATAAATCAGATTATAATAATCGTACCTCAGCTTTCTGTAGGTGCAGTATTCCATTGTCTTCTGACTTTCATGTTTCAAAGGGAAAGCACAAGGCTGCTCTTTCTGTAACTTGTTCTTCTGTTTGGAAACTTGAAGGACTTCCCTGCTTATCCTTGAACTGAGGTTTCCCGTGAAGTACATGAGAGCAGTATTAAGTCAGGTCATAGAGAGGAAAACAGTTGAGTTATCAAATCTAGGTCAGAAAAACAGAAAATCGGGGACAAGAAAATGGTTACAAGCCTTGGGCCTGAGCACACAATCCAAAATGGATTAAGGGCAGAAAGTCAACTTTCAAAGAAAGTTCCTGGGGCTGCTGTACCTGGTCCCAGGAACAGTAACTGCTTCACCCAACTGCAGAGCAGCGGCCTCCCCTAGCAGGCTCAACTCAGACCACTTCCCCTTAGATCCCTGCATCAGCTCCCACCCTGTGCTCGCACTGTCTCTTGCCTCTGACCAAAATAATAGCGTGTATACACGGTGGTGTCTTCATTGACCTCCCGCGTGTTGACAACATTTTAAATTCTGTATATATACTTTCATCTCTATTCATATGCATCTGCTCTAGATACTTAGTCCTTAGATAGATCTAAGCATCTATTCACATATATCTGTGGCCCCGAAAGAACTTGGATATATTTATTCAAATGTATAAGTAGAAATTCTGCTTTATTTAGAAGCATTTCTTGATTTTTTTTAAATTTCGTATTTGGCTAAAAGCTGAGTTCATTTGTATCTATAAAAAGTTGGTCTCATTTGGGATGTAGACAGAGAAGAGCCTGGAGAAAGTCTTTATTCCTTATACAGTTTCTTGTGTGCAGCGGGAAAGGGTGAACAGAAACGCCGGCTGAACACAGGGCGAGCAGCAGAAATAGAGTAAGTGGTGCCATCAGCCACACAGGGGGAGCTGGAGAACAGACTTGGGAGAAATACCAAGAAATGGCCAGGGGGCTGGGAACATAGCTCCATTGTGCAGTGCTTGCCTGGCATGCATGATGTCCCAGTGCCACATAAACAAGGCACTCTGGGTGGAGCTAGGAGGATCAGAAGCTCAAGATTACGCTCGGCAAGTTCAAGACCAGCCTTGGCTCTATAAGACCCCATATCTTGGATCAAAGAAAAGAACCAGCATCTCACAGATCACTGCTGTAGGGATATACCCCCCACAGGACTGTGGGGGAAATTACATCATTGATCTGGTTTTTCCTGCTTTGTCTCCTCAGCTCCTAGGACTTGTCTTACTTCCCAGGCTGGTGGCTCGCAACGCGGTTTTTTTCTCCATTCCATGAACATCGCCATCTGAATTTCTGTTTCTTCAGATGGAGCAATGCTCCGGGGTATGCAGTGTACAGCCTAGAAGAGGCAGGCGGATAGATGCACAGTTGTGGCCAAGGCTAGGTGATCAAGCCATACTGGAGAACTGGGAGAGATGCCTGGGAGAGATGCCCAGGCAGTGGACAGAATTCAGAGATGAATAAAATCCAGAGGACTACTTGGAGACCAGATGGGGAGTGCAGATCAGACTGCTTCCCAAATCAAAGGGAAAACAGGAGGCAGTAAAAAAAACCTGGGGCAGGGGGGCGTGGGAGGTGTCAGGGACAAGGAGCAGTAAAAAGAAAATTGGAACCCCTGAACTGGTTTCCTAGGAGATTTTCCTAAAGAGGGACCAAGCAGAGTGGAGGGTCGGGAGGAGAAAGGCCCTTTGTGTCTTCCTGGTGTGGCTGATGAGTTAGTGGTAACAAAAAGTCTCACGGAAAACCAGCTTGTTTGACTTTAAAGTGACCTTCGGTGGCTGCATTTGTTGTTAGGAGTCCAGGTGCAGTAAGACATTCCTCATGGAAATTTTCTCGTGGTTAAAGGGTGTTTGGGGGGGCACCTTCTGGTGTGGTATTGTCACCTTGTGGGAGACTCCCTCCCCCTCATTTCATTCTTCATGAGGTTGGACTTGGGATAAGAGAGCAGAACGGGTCAGAAGGTCCTGGTCCAAGTAATTAGAGAGTTTTTCTTTTATCTAAATGTGCCTTGTTCAAGTATATCAGTGTCAGCCAGGTTAATTGGAGTTTTAATACATAATTGATGTTAATTTATGGTCCTTTTTGTTCCAGGATGCTACTGCAGACCTTAAAGTCAGGATACAGTTTTCTTGTTATTAATTATATACAGAAAGCCAATATCCCCTTGGAGGAGACGCCCCTGTCACCTGTGGCTTATTTGAGATCCAGCATGTCAACCACAGGCCACGGTTACGGTGAGAGCTCTCCCTAAACTCCGTATCACCTCATAGTGGAATCATGCACCACGGGCCCTGCATATTCTGTATGAAAATGTTGAACACAGAAAGTTTAACATGAATTCTGTTCCTACCAATTCACCATGTTCCACAGCAACATGGAAGCCAGTTTACCATCTCAGCAGCCGAAGTATTTCTAAACACAAAACCCATAATGCTGCACGCGCTGAGGCTGCGGTGGACACGGACCTAGGGACGGGTTCTCTTGAAGATTCCTAGTGCACTGCTAACTCCTGTCTGCTGCTCTTTTGGAAATAGAGGGCAAAAAATGCTGTGCCCTAGATCCAGCTAAGGAGTCTGTGCTCCAGTTTGCTTCCACTGTTAAACTAATGAACTCAGTACAAAAGCCTAGGTTCAGGAGAGGTTCCCAAGCACACAGCATGTTGTTCCCATTGTGGTCTAACCAAATCCCACAATGGGAACCGGTCAGAGCCACAGCTCCAGAATCAGAAACTCACTTGAAGGACAGCGGTTCATGGGGATTTGCCTCCAAGGTTCACAACGCCAACTTTGCCTAAGGGCTTCTATTTTCAGAGTGGATAATCAATAACTTTATATTAGTATAATATGCTGGGCTTCTTCTGCTATGTTCCTTTCTTGTTCAACTTTACCACAGCATGATCAGATATGACACCATGTGCTAAATGCCAGGGTTGTCGCAATGGAATAGGACACAATTTAATGTGTCAGGTTTCTTTTGAACCTTTCTTGGGATCCGGTATCAGCCAAAAGGAGGTCATTTTAATTATCAAATGATTAATTAATTAGATAGTGACCCATCAGAGGTGGATGACTGAGTTCATAACAGAGCTGGTGGGCACACCCAGGCTTCTACACAAGGGAAAACATGGCTTCAAGTGCACCTGATAAATGAAAAGAAATGCAAGTGTAAGGACTTGAATTATCCTTCATTTTTCCAACATCCGTGAGCAGACGGTACACACCAGCTGTTGTAGGAGACATCTCAGGTGTAGGATCTTTTCTGCCCTCAAAGGACTAATACTCAAATGGAATAGATAAATCCTTCCTAGAAACAATCTGAACATCATGAAATAACCGATTAATAGCAATTGGAGCTAACAGCTAAGAGACAATCTGAAGGCCATGAGTTGGAAACATGAGCTATCTCCAGTATGTTCCTACTATTGGCTTTTTAGGGAAAGTTGCCACACTCTAGGCACAGGAGTGATCCAGAACAATGCACATTTTCTGTTTAGAAATATGAATCCAGTATCAAACACCGAAGTTGTAGACGGAAGCATTAGAATCCTATGTGAAACATTCATAGACTGGTGTGTGTATATGTTTTTGTACGTCACTGTGTTTGTATATGCTGTATGCATGTGTATGTATATGTATGAGTACACATGTATGTGTATGTATGCATATGTGTATGTATTGTGTCTGCATGTGTATATACTATTATGTGTGTATGTGTATGGTGTGTGCACATGTGTGTAGATGCAGAGGTCATCCTTGAGTGTCATTTCTCAGAAATGCCATCCGCCTTATCTTGAGAGACAGGGTCCTCTCATCAGCCTGGAGCTCGCTGTGACTGAGGCTGGCTGCTGAGTGAGACCGAGAGCGCTTCTCCCACCTTCCCAGCACTGGTATCCCAAGTGCACACCACCAACCAGCTTCCTTCCTGTGGGTCCAGGGACCCTAGCTCAGGTCCTCATGCTTGTGTAGCAAGCCCTTTACTGAGTCATCCCCAGCCCATAAATAAGGGTGTCCAAGGGAATATTTGCTTTTTATTTTTCTACTAAGAGCAGACGTACAGAACACTGAACTCCTCCGTCTCCTTAGAGGAACTGGAAACCCCTATCCCTCACATAAGAGGCTGCCACCACTATACGGTGCTTTGGATGTATTTAGAAGAGGTCTTGACAATCAATAGCCATTAGTGTGTTATGCAGAATCATTGTTAAATGTCTTTGTTTACCTACTTACACGAGAGTCTGTTCTAGACTTTATAAAGCAAAAGACAAATGCAGCTCGTTTTCAACCATCCAAAATGTAAACTGCTGCAAATGAGTGAAACAATTTTCATTTTATTTCCCCTCCCTTGACATTTGTAATTAGCCCCATCCACCTTTCTGGGCCTCTGTCTCTTCCACTGCAAAATGAGGGCATACTTCACACACAGACTGGGAACACCTCAGAATCATTTCTGCTACTTCTCAACTGCAGCATGCTAAGGCAAAGATTGCCAGAATATTCCTAGTGGAATTTTAGGTAAGAAAAATGCTATAGCGAACTTTAATTGTTTAGCCAAAATGCAAAAATTCAGGCCATTATTTCATTAAGAGTGATGCTGTTAAGTACCCCTTGGGGTAAGTACTTATGTGATGCTGCTAAGTACCCCCTCAAGGTAAGTACCTATGTGATACTGTTAAGTACCCCCTCAAGGTAAGTACCTATGTGATACTGTTAAGTACCCCCTTGGGGTAAGTACCTATGTGATACTGTTAAGTACCCCCTTGGGGTAAGTACCTATGTGATACTGTTAAGCACTCCCTTAGAATGCTTTTCCAAACAAGACTGATCTTGACCCTTCCCTCTCCCTCACCTCTACTGCAGATCCACCAGCTGCTTATGCCTATCTGTGTGAAGAACTAACCTGGAGTCTACACCTCTGACCTGATCATCAGCATCTCCCTTCAACTCAGCTGCCACTCGGTCCCCATGGCATACACACACACACACACACACACACACACACACACACACACACACGGAGAGAATGATGTTTTGGGTCAACAGCAAACCGTCTATATAATGTGCCCCATAAAATCATGTCACCCAGTGGTGCAACTTCCTTTGTATGATTATATTCTGTGACGCTCACTAACATAGCAGGATGTCCCAGTACCCATACGATTATTAAATGGCATATGAAAGTATTGTAGTAGCGTTCCCATAGCCTATTGACCACATCCTCCATCTCCCTTCACTCAGTTCTTGGCACAGCAGCCAGAGTAATTCTTTCACCCACAAACGAGATGATGTCCTCAGCTGAAAAGCCTTCTCTAGGACAGTGACCTTCATGGTGTCCACAGTGGTACAAAATTCCCTTCCTGACCTACTCCCCTCCCATTCCTTCTCAGCACCCCCTTCCAACCTTCCAGTCTCTGGGTGCTTCCGGAACAACCAAGAGCGCTGACATTAGAAGACATTTGCGCGGTCCCTTCCCACTGGAAGAAAGTCGACTCCCAGGGATGCTCAGGTCCTGACACAAATCCACCTCCTTGCCTCAGTGATGACTTAAGCACCGCCCCAAAGTACCCTGTCCTCCTGCCCTACCTGACTTTCCCTTCAATAACCATCTGACATACCTTTTGTTAGCTGCACAAAACCAGATTTTTGTCTCTTTTGGTCATGACTATCTTTTCGTGTCAGAATAGTCCTGGTGTATTAGTCAACCTCCTGCAACTGTGACAAGAGACCTGATGTCTTATTAGGAGGAAAGGTTTGTTTTTGTGCGTAGCTTTGGAGATCTCAGTCCACAGTGGTGGGGAACATAGCTTTGAACTTCTGACGAGGCATTTATTGTGGTGAGGGCATGTTTTGTGCTCACTTCATGAGCCAGGAAGTAAGGGGTAGATAAGAAGGTGGCAAGATGCCACAGTCCTCTTCCGTGGCACACGCCACATGTCCTCTTAGCATGCTCCACTCTTTACAGACCCACAGCATCTCTTACTAGTGCCATCCTGAGGGTCCTGCCTTTAACGTACAGATGTGTAGGACATTCAACATCCTAAGCATAGCAGCACTCAAGGATTGCCAGGTGAAAGTTTGATCCTGAGGCTCAAGTTGTGGTTTGAGGGTGAACGATGGACCAGGAGCCCTCACAGACCATGGATTTGAATATAAATACTCACATCTTTCTGGCAGCTAGCTGGTCTGTGAGGAACCAATATTGCAAACAAAGATATTGGACCAGAAACTCCAATTCTATAATTGAGCCTAGGGAAATTATTACAGACATCTTTGTAGAAGGACGCTTATTATAGCCCTCTCTGCAATGCAGAAAAAGTTGGACATAATCCTAAATGTCAAACAAAAGGAATCTGGCAGGATGGGCTATGGTACAGTCCGTCTATACAATAGAATCCAGTTCGCTAGTCAGAGTCGCATTATAGACGATTAGAATGGGATGCAATGCTAACGTTAGATGCTGTATTAAAATCAAATTTCATGAGATAACATTTCCAGGGGAAAGTATTCAGAATAGGTTACCTCTGCTTATTTCTGGTTGATAGGGCTGTATAAATTTTTATTTCCTTGTTCTTATGTATATGGAAGAAAGTAAGAATTAAAATGATCATTAAAAGGCAGATATTGTAGTAAGAAGGGGCTAGGAGCTAATATTTCCTCTGCAGCTATGACAAATGTGTTAGGACTGCCACAGCTTTGGGGCTGGGGATTGCTCACATGGTAAAAAGCAAAGGCTGTGTTCTTAGTCATCGTCAGTTGGGTCGATGAGCCGAGGAGGCTCTTTCCTTCATGCTTCACATCAGATACGAGGTCAAAGCCAGGAGAATAAACCAACTCCTGCCTGCTGCTGCCGCCACCCCCCAATCCTGCCTCCCCTTCCCAAGCTACGCCTTCCTCTCTTATTGCGGTCTCCATCCACAAGAATCTGGACACACATCTCAGATGACTGCAGACATCATGGCGGGAAACTCCCTCAGATATCCCTGGGGTTAGGGTCGATGGATTAGTGTGCCCCACAGAAGTGAAGGACAGGGTGTGCCAACTAGAGAACGGCTGTTTTCTGATGAACATCTCACATGTAACCAAACAGAAATGCAAAGAATAAAGGGCCAATCAGAGGTCTAGGGCGAACCATTCCTACTGAAGAGAGGAGGAAAATGCAGAAGCCGAAGTGACTAGTCTTCTTCCGCGTAACTTCACAACTACCGTAGGGAGAATGAAGGTGTTTGAAGATGGTGCTTCAAAGAGCTGATTCGATTGAAATGAGATCTTGCTGGGCGTGGTGAAGCGTAACTGTAATCCCTCCTCAGGAGGCTGAGGTAGGAGGATTGTGAGTTGGAAACTAGCCTGGGAGACTGCCTCACAAAGGGGAGGAGCTCGCGCAAGCTTAAGCGAAGAGCTAAAGCACCCGAGGCGCCACTTCCAAGCAGAGCACAGAAGCCATAAACAGTACCCTCATCCTGGATCTCCACCCTCTAAAACTGTGAAGACTATTTCTGGGACCCAGTCTCTGGGATTCTGCCATTGCAACTCTGGGGATCCAGCCCAGTATCCATCTCACACGGGGGTAGACAATCCCTGACGTGCACTGATTGGATTTAAGATATTTTGATGCTTCGGTGGTGTGTGAGTGCACCCACATGATCATCCGGTCTTCCGTTGCTCAGTTCAGTGGTCAACAAGTCACAGGAGATGCTCAGTACCTTAATATAGGCAGGTTTTGGGTCAGTGTTTCCAGCCAGCAGCTGTGTGTCCTGAGCACACGGATGATGTTCAGCAGACAGGGTGCAGTACATGCATTCTCGATTCCCAGTATTTCGGTGTTACTGTGGTTTTATTCCCACTGTAAGTCAAGGTGACATCCGAAATTGTACCCTGTTCTATCCCACAGCGCCCACACTGTCATTTCATCAGACCAGGAAGGGTCTTGCAGCATTAGTGAAGCATTGTGTTTTCGATGGGATTGGAGTAGACATGGAAAACATTTAGAAATAAAGGTCCTTTCTCTCCTAATGTCAAACTGCGGCAGGCTAGAGAGCTGAGGGATGGACTGTTTTCTCACGGGCCGACTTAGAACCTGACCTTGTCAGAGAGAAGCACTTCTCCCCTTTATTTTTCCCAAAAGAACTCCTGTACCGAGTCTTTCTCTGTCCCTCCAGTCAGCTCCCAAATACTGACACAGAAACTTATTCTTAGGTATGAAAGCTTGGCCTTAGCTTAGGCTTGTCTCAGCTAGCTCTTATAACCTAAATTAACCCATTTATATTAATCTCCTTTCTGCTACGTGACATTGCCTTTCTTCTGTCTTGCACCTCCTGTTTCCTCCCTGTGCCTGCCTGGAGACATTGCCTTCTTCCAGTAGTCTCTGTCACCAGAAGTTCTACCTAACCTCTTCCTGCCTAGCTATTCTCCATTCAGCTCTTTATTAAACCAATCAGAAGATGCCTTACCAAAAAAACACATGTTCACAGCGTAAACAAATATTCTACAAATTTCACTCTTTTTGTCTCCATAAAAAGGAAAAGGTTTAACTCTAACACAGTAAGCTGTTTATAATAAGAACAATTATCAGGTAATTATATTTACAATGTCCAGTCCATTTGCATTTCTCAAATTCAGAGAAAATATGCCATTATCTATCCTATATTGGTGAATTGAAAGTTTTGTACCAATTTATTTTCTTTCCTAACTTGTATTTTCAACCCCAAACAATCTTTTTAAACCTCAAAAAATTTTCTTAGATAAACAATTTAAACTTCTATGTCTCTCAACCTTATACACTTTATACCTCTTTTTTTTGAGTTTCTTTTCTGAATATGGTAACAAGTAAAACTTAACTATAACTATCCAATCTTCAGCTCTATCAGAGATCTGAGAAGGATATGATATTACCTGAATAAACAGGAAGTACAGAGCAAGTAACTTCTCAAACTTAGAAATGACAGAAACATCTGACTGCCTGGATAGTCACCCAAGGTTCCTCTGCAATGTTGGGCCATCCATCTTCGGTCTACAGGCCTAGAGTATCTGACAGACTTTTCTGTGAAGCAGGAATTTTGAAAAGACTGTCCATCCCAGTCTTGGCAAAGTTTGGCAGTTGCCTTCTTTTGTATCCTGCTTGTCCAGTTTGTAGATAATGCTGTCAGCAGTAAAGCCATTTCTTGTCCCAATGGCTAGCTTTGAAACTCTATATGGTGGTTCTTTGATGGTCATCATCCTTTATTGAAGTAGATTGGTGCTGCTGTGATTTGTCTCACTGTCACAAAAATCCTTATGTTATTAAGATATCTTAAATGTCATATCCTGTAGGTCTTTGAAGTGTTTGAAGACTACCTATCTATCTAAAATATATCCCTGTTTAACCTTGAAAACATATCTAACATGACTACAAGTTTGATTATTATAGATGACTATGTGTATTTTTTATTATTCTAAGTAGCCTTTAAGGACTAGAACTTTACATTTTTAAATGAGCTGCATAGGTACAATACCTTAAACAAGACTAGAAGCATATACACAGTATTTTGTAACAAAAATAACCTTAAATTTGTATTAATATACAAAAGTCCATACCAATGTAAAATATTGGAGTGTGGTGGTATAGCACAATGCCTACTCTATGTGCTACACGCTACAGTATGGTTAATGAGTCGGGCAAAGGGCTGGAGATTGAAACACACACAGACACACATAGAGTCATGGGTAATGCCAAGAATGCCCCCTTTATTGTGTTCCAGGGCAGCTTATATAGGGTCTCCTTAACTAATGGCCATGCCCTAACTCTCAGCTGCAAGCCCACCAGAAACCACTCCACTGCCATCAGGAGCTCCTGAAGGTCTTGTGCTCAGAGCAGCTGCAAGCATGGAAAAACAAGTTGTTTACTTCAGCAGGCAGGGGTCACAGAAAATTCAGGGTCTGGGGGTCCACAGTCCCCAACATAGTGGTTATTCAGGAGTAGATTCCACAATCCACCCTTCTATCCCATCATTTCT